TCATTCCAATGAAAAAAAGAATGAAAAAGAATTTGATGAATTAAATATCAAAATAGTTAAAAAAATGATGAATTTTGGAGAAAAAAACTGCTTACCTCACAAAAGAATGGCCGTTCAGTTCTGGCCACTGGGTGTTCAATATCAATATGTTCGGCGCATTCCAATCTCGACATAAACATCATTTTACACACTGGACAATCGAAACGTTCGAATGATAATGCACGCGCTTGTTCAAAGATATCATCCAGCGTGAATGAATTTTCCTCAGCCGTTTTCAGTAATTCGGAGAGTCTTCGCATCTAAGGAGCAAAAATTGCATTCATGCAAGACAGAGCTTAGTTTATTTCAAATTACCAAGAAGGCTCGGACAATTAGTGTGGGGATCCCATGTTTGTGATGGCACTGATTATTCACATATCAAGACTACCCGGACAATCGATGTGGGTACCATATCCTGGTGATGTTACCATAAAAACTCATTTACATATCAAGTCAGTCATTATTGCTGCCCAGCTACAAGTTTCGAGATATATTTTGAATTACTGTGAATTTTACTTTTACATTTCTAGATATATTTTCATTTCCAGACAAATTACGAGTTATCGCCGCTTCTAACTACAAAACTCATAGCAACTTTAAACATGCACTTTTCATACATGTAAAATGAACATTTGTATATCCATCATTCCAGCATGACTCCGCTCTGGGACCGTATTCCTTCACCCCCCACTCTTTTTGCCCTCCCTTCTCCTCTACTCCATTCATTTTCACTTGTTTCTGCTTTATTTTCCCCGATATTCACTCACAGTTTATGGATCCCACGCACTGCTTTGGACTGTTAGGCCTAACTTCCGGTCTTCCATGTCAGCACAAAAACTACACCGTTCCAGAGTATGCTAACTTTCGCTTTCCAGCATTAAATTCCCGAAGGAGTCGGATTTAAAAAAATGGCAATTTTATGCCATTTTTGTTGCTTGTTTCTCTCAATCCAGTGCTAGAAACCAGATGCAACTCCACAAAAGGTAATTCCGAGTGCATCTGTCTTTAAGAGCGAGTGAACTACAAAAAAGGTTTTGGACTTTTCAGCGAAAGGTTTCATTCTTAAACCAAATCTATTAACAGAGAGGAAAAAAGGACCTTTTCGGGAATGGGTGCGCTGGGAAGCAATTCGCCGCGACGTATTTTTTCAACCCATACGCGAGAATCGGTCCCCAGACCAAGTTTTCGCTTTCGTGGTCGACTTGGTGGCGTGAAGAATGGTTCACCCGTACTGCGCACTATTATCGCATCATCCGGAATATCGGCTGGTGGCCTTCTGTTGCTAAAAACAGCAAAAAGTTGTGGAAAAAAATTAATGCCATGAAAATTTCAAAAGAAATTCAAGCAAGAATCCCAAATAAATCCAAGAAAAATATTCTAAGTGGATGTGAATATGAATACCTTGCAAACGGCCTCCAGGCGTCTTCGAGTTCCTCCTTCGTTGAAACGTGCGTCTTTAGGTGCTTTTTTAGATTACCCTTCAGGCGGCACGTTTTACCGCAATATGGACAGGCATGAGGTGTATAGCCACTATGCACAGATCGATGTTCAAACAAATTTGATTTGAAACGGAAAGATTTCCGACAAATATCACAGGCGTATGGCTTCTGATCGGTGTGTATTACAGCGTGTTGCTGCAAACCTGAAAAAACTATATGCAGATTTTGTGGCTTATGCAAATATCCGGAGGTACTGAGAAATATACAAATGATAACTAAAATTCAGATATTTTTACAACGCAAAATTACCGACCTTTGAAGGAAACAAAAATTTTGTTGCATATGTTACATTGATGAACCGATTTCGGCTGTGATTGATGCAAACTGTCACCATCGTTGCGAAACTAAAAAAGTTTCTAACTTTTAATAGACGAAATCCAGATTTGGTGTACAGGAATAATTGAGCAAAACTGTTCAAAGTTTGTTTAAATCGTTCCAAAGAAAGAAACAAGTCTTTGATTTCTTCTTTTATTAAATTCAGATTTACTGAAGGGCACTAAATTGCTGTAAAATGAAAGAAGTATTCCAACCAACGGTCAGAAATAAGCAGAAGACAGTTGATGATCCGCAAAATTCCTAAACAGTTGGTGCAGTAGATTAGAATAATTGATAAAGCGATGCATTAATAATCAGCATCTGTGGATTATCTGCTAAGACGAAAGAGGAAATCGGCAAAATATGTAAATAAAAATATGGGAAAATGAAAATATTTGAACCGGAATATTTCGTTGAAAACATTACCTTTTATAAACATTACTTAACATTACTTAAGTTGGAAACACTACTTTTTGTGGACAACTTTTAGTGATCGTAAAGGCAGTTTTAACAATGTAACGCAAGCAAAACGCAAAAAAAAACACTGTAACGCAAGCAAAACGCAAAAAAAAAAGGGAAAGGAGATG